GCAAAACGGGATTACGCTCTCACAACTCGGACATGCCAGGCGAGCTCAATGGTACGAGGTCGGCGTAAGGCAAAACGGGATTCAGGGTTCTGGTAAGGTCGCAAAGACATCCCGGACACGGCCTCCAACCCAACACCTCCATGGACTGCGAGACAGCCCCGCACCGCCAGCTAACTTGAGCGGGATCCGATACCTTTTCCCAAGAATCACTCAACCAAGAACTACCAAGCTCGGCCCACGAACAACTACCAAGCCCAGGACCAAACATTTCCCACTCCCGCTGGGGCACGTAGGATGATCATCGCATTGGAGGTCAGCGGTATGTTCCGCACCATGCCTTGGCTTCGAGGGTTGCTGCACCTATAGAAAACATGTATGGAACGTGGAACAGGCACCCGCAGTAATACAGAGATGACACTCCTCACAAGTGGCAGGGGTGATAGCTATCCCTGGCATCATCCTTTGTTCTTGTTCCCGGTCATCATCAACATCAACGTGTCTCGCATCATCATCATCATCATCATCATCACAAAAAAAAACGCCACCACCATCACCGTCAGCATCAATCTGATTACCAGCAGCATAGATACCACATCATTTCGTTCTCCGACGTCGCCATCATCGTCTTCACCAGTGCCACTAGCACGACCATGACCAGGACAGCCATCACTAGGCTCACACCCATTACCATCATCAGCAAAACGCGGCAGCAGCAGCAGCAGCAGCAGCTCCTGCTGCTGCATTGTCACGTCATTATCTCCCTTTCCACCAATGGCACTATTTTCAACTTCATCCTTGTCCTTGCCATCTTCAGCACTATCGTCTTCTTTCCCGGCAGAACCAACCGGCAGCAGCATCAACATCGCACCGTCATAAGATGGCCTCAGCTTTTGACCGTGACACTTGCTGGACTCTTCCCATCACCATCGAACACCGCCACGACCAGCATCAGAATCATGTTGATGAAGCTTCTTAGAAACCATGTGTTCTTGACTTCAGTCTTTGCTGAGCTTGCTGTGACATGACATTGATGGTGCTGGTATCACTGCTTGTTCTACCCTGAACAGCAGAATGCTCCCTGCATGGACGAAACTTGAAGTATCCAAATCCGAAGCAACAAAAGACACTCTTAGTTTCACCGGAGCACAAAGTCCACCAGATGGCGGAACCTCACGAACGGAAGGATCCAGCTTCCTGGCGCGGCAGCAAAGGACGAGAACTGCTGCCACCGATACAAACAAGAAAAACGCGTTGCTTTCAGATCATCTATCGGGTTCAAGAACGGAAGCCCAGTAAAATTGAGACGGGAAAGGGTTCAACCGCTCCATAGAACAAGCAGAGCAATCACGATTCGTGCTGTGTTGTCCACAATTGCATTCACCTTGACTTTATGGCCAGTGTAGCTCGAAAAAACAGACATCCAGGCACCTGCTGTCTTCAGCTGCCGAGTGGCAAGCTTTTCCTTCCCGGAGTGCGCGGCTTCAGCTTCACGTGCCTGCACATGTCTCGAGAGGTAACAACAGGGTCACAGCTGTATGACTTTCCTTTGCACAGCACTGGGTGGAACGGAAACTGAGGCTTGCACTGCAACATGCGTCGATACGTCGTGGGAATTTCCTCAGCACTCAAAAGAATCTGCCCGGATCTGTATAAAGACCCCGGCAATGCTGCGTGTAAATATGTGTATATGTATGTACATATGTATATATACATATATATATACATACACATATATATATATCTCTACAAATACGTATGTATGTATGTATGTATGTATGTATGTACATACACACACACACACGGAAGTCTTCGTAGTAGTGGAGACCTGAAGTCAACCTCTGGCTCCTTCCAAGGTGCTCCAAACTGCCGCGAGCTGTCCTTGAAAACCTCTGAGGAACTGCCTCGAGCAGCGACTTTGTTGATGCCCAGCCGACATTGCATGTATCAGACATGCATTACTGGCAGTTTCAGGCTCACTCTCCTCACCTTCCGAGTTCCTTTCCACGAAACAACTAGCAGATGGCGCAAGCAAACGTTTGCCGCACATGCACCCTGCGTTCAATTCAACATCCTTGAGCTAGCACCCCCGCTCTATGTGCCCATGTCAGCACCCTCTAGTTGATGATCATCTTTGAGGGCATGATGCCGACATCAAGAGCATGGTATGCTATGCTATGGCTGGCGTCACTTATGTCGCAAGCTCTTAGCCCCAGCAACATGCGGATTGCGCCACTCTCGGGCGTCTGTCTCCAAGTAGTCTTGTCTCGCTCTGACCGGGCCTGACTTCTCCAAGAAGTGACCACCCAGCAGTGGCTTCAACTCTCCTGAGAGCGGCGGGTAAATAAGGAGACCGCCGAGCTGGGCATCGGAACAGGCTTATAGTATTGTTATAGTATTGTTATAGTATTATTATAGTATTATTATAGTATTATACTAGTATTATTATAGTATTAATATTATCATTATTGTTGTTGTAGTATAATGTAGTCAGGGCTGGCGGCCTTGGGCCGACATTTTTGCAGGTTGACAGGTCAGGCGTCTCATAAGGAAGTCGATGAAGGTAACGAAATCTTTCGCAGAGGGCCGCTTGGAGCCAGGGTAGACACAGAACGGCATAAAGCCTGAAGAGTTTGCTCGAGATATTTGACTAAGGAAAAAGGCGGAAAAGCGCAACTAGGAATGACGGCCAGCACGAAAAGCCAAGCAGCTGTGCCGTGGTCTCCATCTCCCTACCTGTAGACCGAAGGCGCACTTCATCTTCAGCATTCATCATGAACTACGCACGAGCTCACAAACAGCCGATGTGCCTGGATGAGGACATGATTGTCTACCGGCCGCAAGATGCGCAGCGCATGCAGTGTCACCTGCATGGCAGCACAATCGGACGTCCTTGCTGGGAGAAGGAGTTTCTTGACTAGACCGCGAACTGGCCCAGTCGAATCAAACTAACGGTGCTTACTTCTGCTGTCCAACCACTGGCTCAAGCCGTTGCGGCTGATGTCAGTGGATGACAGTTACCATCAGCTACCTGTTCCTAATTATCAGTCAAGCAGCAAATCGCTCGAAAGAGCCATCCTTGGTCAACCAAGGAAACAGAAGCTGACCAGCCAAAGCACAAATGCGAAATCTTGCCACTGAGCCAAAGCTGCCTCATGGAAGCGAACCTGGCAAACGCCTGCCTGAAGCTCGCCAACGATGCCTCAAGCACGGAATGACATTGGCAGGAATCCACCGCTGAGCGAAGCTTGCGATTTGCCATGGAGGGAGAAGATCTCCAGTAGACTTGGAATGCAAATCCACAACTACCCAAAGCCGGAACTTCTCAAAGTCAGCGGCGATCTCGGTTCGATCCTGCCTGAAATGGCAAGCATCAGCCTGGGGTCCATCGATGACAGCTGGATGTCCTTGAGCCGTGCCTCGATTGTTGCTTGGGCACTCGGGCAAAAATGGCCTACCCAATACAACGAGAAACGCAGAATCACTCCGACGACAGCGAGGACTGTAGAGGAGGGCGGTTACCCGACATGGCCACAGCCACAATGATCGACGACAGCAACTGTGTCAAGAGGACCCACAAGAAGCACCTCGGGAATTCTCCCGAAACCAAAGTACCATTATCGTGCAAGACTGTCCACCCTGTCGGTAGGCGTGGTGTCAGCAGCAATTCCTCCAATCTACTGGTTTGTTCTGCGCCCATCTACGCTATTATACAGTATTAAGCCCTGCAAGGGCTTCTCTATGCAGGTGCTCAGTGCTGGTCGTGCCCGCCTTTCGTACTGGCAAGTCAACGAAAACGCCAGAAACTACGGAACTCTGCAAGTTGCGATTGTGATTCGTTTATCCGACTAATATGCCTGTCATGAACATGAGTCACTGGCTCGATTCAACAGAATCCGAACGAGTACACTGGGGTTCGGCATCTCCTCTCTGACAAGCCCACAGCTACTCTTCGGCCGCTGGTTGCCATATCGAAGCTTGGAGCAATGGTTAGGTAAGGTGGCAGGTTCAGCGCCGTCCATACTCTTGCTGGGGCTCAAACATAACTAACGACCACGCCAACGAATACACAACAGCAAATGAATAGAAACGATGACAAGCGAGGTTTCCTCTCGTCAGCCCATAATCCATATAGTACAAGTCAGATGACCATCCCGCTGGTCAGAGCAGCTGTCAACAACCAAATCTACCAAATGCCGACGTTGCGTTCCCATCCTAACCTAACAATACTTTCCTACTCAAGTCGTGTAGCTATGGTCTCGTCCAGCGGGAGCTCCTCCCCTAAGTCGTCGAAGTCGTTGTTGCCTGAAACTTGGCTACTGCTCCCTCGGCAGACTTCGCATCTGCTTAAAAGCCAGCACAAACCCAGCAGTGTCCGAGATGGGCCAAGGAACTGTAGCCAGCCCTTGGCTGTTGCACGCGGACTACGGATTATGTTTTCAGCATGGTAGTCATCGTCGCCATAAACAAAACCATGCAGTCATCACGGCAGACATGTGCAGCAGCAGACTCAATAGAATCAACAAGCTTCGCCTGCAGAGGAACTCGAGCTCCCTCTCACTTCTCAGCACTGGCATGTGTGATCGCTTCGGCCCGCAGTGCGTTTGAGTCGTGGGTCCACGAGAATTCCACTGATGGGATCAAAGATCATCACTTCCCCGCCCCCCGTCAGGCAATTCATCAGGGAGATAACAAAAGTAGGCATCTGCTCGAACCCAGCAGCTGCCACATGGCTCAAAGTTTGTTGGGGCAACATGCCCCCCCCCCCCACCATCCAAAATGCTGCACACAAGTGATGCTAGCTGCAGCGATGACAACGACAGTCACCATCATCCCGATCCTACTTCTGCCACTGCTGCTGCTGCTGTGCCTCCTTCCACTCGTCCTCTCCTCATCTCCTCCTCATGACCCACCCCTACTACTGCGACCACCATCAATACCACACCACTACTACCACAACTACCCCTATTTCCACTCCAACTTCCAGCCGGTGTGCTGCTGCCACCACGTCTGCTGCCACGACCAGTACCAGCAGCCGCAATGCTAAGAAACAATAAGAAGCATCATAGCAGCAGGAAGCGACGACGCAGAGAACAAGCGTGAGCACAATGCTCAGAATTCATGTCTTGCTATTAGCATTGATAGGCAGAACAATGCTGAGGCTTCAGGAATCGTGCCAGACGGTGCACATCAGCTGGACTAGCAGATCGGACCGTTATGTTCCACAAAAGTTCTGCAACTGCCGGACTAGAGTTTCTCTCAGATTCAGATGGTCCCTCCCTTTGTCAACAGCTAGGCAGGGCCAGTCAAAGCTTGGCTGAAACGCAGCAACATCCAAGCTCGAAAATCGCCGCGGCACACGTCCAGCATAGCAGTGGACCGCTTCCCCTTGCTAATGGCACGGAGGGCGGACATATCATCAAGCCTGCAAGCAGCGGCACCCACTGCACCCACGCTTGATGCAGCATCCTCCAAATCTGTCAAGCAACAGGTCTGGTGACAGAATCTTGGAGCCCGCCAACCTCGAGGACACGGCTGTAGAATGCTGTAGACTCGCCAAGACATGGTGGCATCTGCATGGCTCATCTGGTTTGCCTCCCACCTACTTAGGGCCCACTACTTCCTTTTTGTTAGTTCTTCCCGTCCCTCAAAAGGCAGCCATGACACGATTTCCGCGCAGGCGGGAGGGGGTCGCTCTCCAAGGTCGGCAGATGGAAGTCCTTGGAGGCCTGCTCAAAGGGGCGACCCGGAAATGTCCCCCGGGGCTCCCATGTTTTCCTCTTTGTTTTGTGACATAGACAAACTGTCAGAGTACTTTGCCTTCTCGCGGATATGTGGCCATGTACAATGGGGTTATAGATTCTCGATACATAGATAGGTTGGTAGGTACTGGGCAGGCAGGCAGGCAGGCAGGCAGGCAGGCAGACAGACAGCCAGGTTGGCAGATAGATCTGTATCCACGCCGCACGTAATTGTTGGTAAGCATCTTAGTTCTCACTCTGTGGGAACAATGCTGAACTGGAACCACGTCCAGAGCCGCCTAGCAGGTGGACTTCTCGGAAATCTTCCTTCCCACTCTCTCTCCCTTTGCGCTCCAAAATATTGAATGAGGTTGGGTTTACGCAGTTTGCATTCAGCAGGTAGGGGGTCACTGCAACCCATCCACAACCTTCGACCCAAGTCTGCGGTCAGCCCTCGACACCTGCCCGAGCATGTCGCGTGTGTTCCTTGGAACTCGGAGGCTGACATGCGGACTGTCGTCGTGTTCTTTACAGCGCAGGGGCAGAGTGGTCTAAGAACACCTAGATCGCCGAAGGCTCTGGTCTAGAAGCTGCAGCTTCTCGATCTCGACCTGGGACCACATGCGATGCGGGCGCCGGGCCTTGGCAGGGCACTGACTCTCATCATGACCCACTGACTCTCATTTTCTTGCCATGATTGATTCAGTCATTGCAGGTGCAAGTCGTGCTGCGATCAGGAGAACGGATTCTCTCCGAGGCCGTGGCCAAGCCCCGATCGCTCCGCATATGGGCAATTGCATCCGTCCTTGTCTTCATGGCACTGAGGCTTTCCGTCGATCTTTGCTTTGCTTCGGGGGTTGAGGTACAGGCAGTCCCCGTGCCCGCACTTCACCCTGATTTTCGGTGGGGCCCGGCTGTCTAAGCAGGTAATCCTAAGGAGTGTCCTAAGGAGTGCCCCGGTATCGATCTCTCCCTCTCTCTCGATCTAGTGCAGCCTTGCACCAAATCTGCCTGGGCCGCTTGGGTTCCGCAACAAGTGTCCCCGACTCCTACAGGTGGATGCAGCTGCCCCGCTCCGGGACTTCCATCAAAAGTACTGCCACCCAAACGGAAATTTGCTGGGGGACTCAAGACTTCGCTGTTCACGTATTAACGAGCATGCACCAAAGAACAGCTCCCATCAGCCCTTCCGCGGAGAGGCATCCGGCGTATTTGTATTCATACACTGGCAGACGGAATACACATCCTTGCACAGACACTTTAGTTATAACCGTCTGGTGCACCCGAAACAATCACCTCCGCTGCGGCACCCTGCAAGAACGTTCGATACTTGCGGGGTCAGTCAGGACGGGGCTACACAAAAAAGGAAAGACTTGCTCAGAGCCCAGGTGCGGCAGGGACCCCAAGGCGGGGCAGCTGTCATTCCGCGGCGGTGCCCGGTTCCTCGGTCGGGGAGGTAAAACATGCTTCTTTGTAAATGCACACAGCACACACAAAGCCATGCTGACGAACGTCATGTCAATGCACAAACATGTGTGATGATATGTGTCCCGATCTCTGGTCCGACGAGATGCTTCGACGTTGAGGGACGTATGTCCAACGCCGGAGCCATGGCATGGGAATCTGCCCGCACTTGCACGAAATGATTTCGAAGGTATATCTCCGGGTTTGTACTTCTTTAGCCGCGCGAGTGGCCTGTGCTTGTGAAAGTGCCTGACGCAAGTGTAGGGTCAGTCTTGAGTTGCTGTTGGGTGGGCTTCCGAAGATCTGTCGCTGCTCGGGTTCAGGTAGGCGGCACGCTGTTTAAGCAAGCTGGTCTGGCCGGCTGAAAGGGAACGGGGCACCCTCTTAGATTCTAAGATACTGTGAAACAACCATAAACAACCCTTTCTGCTCTGCATGGCCACGTGCTGCGTGTCTAAGCCACATTCGGCAGAACAGAACAGCTCTTGGCCCAGGAAGCCCGAAGCACATAGGCACGGCGGCCCAGAGCTCATGTTGACGCGAGTGCCCGGCCGGAGCTCGGAACCTTCGGATGTCAGAACTTAATATAATCTAATATAATATATTAATATAATATAGCATAATATAATACAATATAATACAATACAATATAATATAATAATAATAATATAATGCAATATAATATATATATATATTATAGTAAAAATATACAATATATAATATCTGTATAGGCAAGGCTCGGCAAGGAGGCGTGATGCGACCAGGTGTCAAAGAGCGAATCTCTATACATTGAAACTCTCAGAATCAGCTGCCGGCGCTGAGCTGGTCGCTCGTCCGTCTTCCTCCCGGGCTAAGCTCCAGACCATCTGCAACTGGCGTGGCTTCATCTTTTCTCCTGGGAGTTCAGTCCGGAGGTTTGAAACTGAATCTTGCCTCCGCACAGGAGACACCGTGTTTCGCTTGTAACATCTGTCTTTGCAGGCACGCCGCGATTTTCCGTTGCTGGCCGCTGGTCCAGATTGCGCTGCACCGCATCTTTGCAGTGCAAACTAGGGGAGCAGGCCCGGAATGCCAAAGTCTCAGAACAGAAAGGGATCACTCGTACACCCCAAGCATCCCCCAAACCCTATAAGAATCACCATCCCACGGCCAAGCCTAGCTTGCTTTGTTCAAGAGAACTCGCCCTGAAACCTCGCACGTCACTCACACCGCCATCCATCGGAGCCCAGCGGGTCCTCAGCTCCGGGCGCCCAAGTAGATTCGGCTTTTTTGTGGGCTCAGGGTCTTAGACTTCGAGTTTTTGGGGGGTTTCGGGTCGAATTCCGAGTGCTGTTGCCATGGTAGTGCAGGGCAACCCGAAGCCCCTTTTTTTGTAGCGGGAATGAGAAGAAACAAGCCCTCATTGCGAGCTATGCACCGCTACGAGGGTGGCGCTGCCTCTTTCTGGGCAGCCCCGTATGCAATGCAGACCTTGTGTCATTCAGTTGCTCGAAGGGAACTCCTTGCCCCTTTTGATTCTGAAACTGTATGCAACTTGAAAATGAAAGGCTAATAATCAATTCCGGATGGCACGGAAGAGATGAAGACGCAACACAATACGAAACCTTGCAAACGTGTTTGCAATATGATGCTGTGATCCGGCTGCATCTTGTGGCTATTTCGCCGTTGTGAACAGCATTCGCCAAATGGCTTCTCTAGAAAGCTAATGCAAGAATCAATTGACAACTGGAAAAGACGGCACACTCATTGGCATTGGAGACATCCTCAAGAATGCCGGCACTACATTCTCAATCTTGCGAGAAAGGTCTTACCTTGTCACATGCTGGAAAGCGTCTCTGGCAAACTTGACGAGCCCATAGTGCAGTGTGCGTACTAAGGGCAAAGACTTCGCAAATCGGAAACTACCAGCACTCTCAGCGATGATTCAGTGCTGGGAGGTCGAGTGCGAGTGCGATCTCATGTGGTGGGGCAGGCCGATGCTTGCAATCCAGTCCTTACAGAAAAGGACTTACAAGATGCGACCTCCGCCTCTGAAGGCCTCATGCACGAGAGTCCCTTTGTTTAAGCACAGCTGCCAAGAATTCGCGCTGATCCACGTAGGGCTTCGCCTGCCCGAAGTGCCTGGCTAAAACTATGGTAGACGGCAGCGACGGAAGGCGCATGATCAAACAGGGTGAAATTGGGTCCTAATGCCAAGAAACCCACCTAACTTAAAGCCCTGTCACGAAGCCTTTGCCATGATCATTCAAGCCTTCGCCGCTACTTCGCAACTTCAACATGGCTTAAGCAAAACAGCCTGTAGAGTCTGTAGCGACATGCTCAGCACGCGTACATCTGCAACATCGCTGCAGGCTCTGCGCAACGCAATTTGGTCATGGGGCTTCAAGGGCTGAACATGGGATCGCTGAGGTTCTGTGTGCTACAAAGATATCAGTCGTATATAGAACGGCCACCCACGCGTCGTCTACGGTGGGACACTAAAAACTTATGACAGAACTTCTCTCTGACTCTATCCTCAACTTCGTCATCGAAGCTCTGCTCTCGACAAATACTTTGTACTCGGTGTACTCCCGACACACGAACATCACCCCAACATGCTTAATGGTAGAAGTGCTGAGTTGCTGATAAAGCAAGCTGGCTACGTCCATCTCACTCATTCCGCTCTTCATGTCCTCCAGCCATGTCGTTATATCAAAAACAGTAAGGCGTCCGGTGCAATTCTGGTCGATAAGGTTGAAGAGCATCATGTAGTCGTCTTGCCAGCTTTCGCTGTCCGTCCCATCTCCAGGTGCGATTGCCAGGGCTGCCACAGCCTGGAACTTGCTCCAAGTTAGCTGCTTGCTGCCATCGTGGTCAATACTATCCAGCAGGGCGTGGGCAGCATCCTCGGAATTGGGGAAGCCCATGGCCTTCCAGTGTGCCGCAAGGTCTCCCAGCATGATCTCTTCATTGTTGTTGATGTCCAGACTGCCGAAGATCTGCTCGATTTCGTGCTGCTCGCTGTAGGGCAAGGCCCTGAAAAGACGCAGCCCTCGCTGCCAGGTCTCGCGCATCCACTTCTTGGACCACAAGGCTTCGTGCGTCATGCGGTTGAACAGCTGCACCTTCCGAACCACTGACTGGAACTTCTTCGTTTTGGGTTTCGCAGCCAGAGAGCTCTGCTTTGTCACCGTAGGCTCCTCTGCGTCGAGCGAAAGGGTATCCTTTCGGACCATCCTTTTGGCGCGAATGATGGCATGGGCCCTTTTCATGGTTGAAGCAGACACGTTGTTCTGCTGTGTGAACTGGAGCCTTTTCACTCGCTTCTCATATCCCATCAGCTGCGCTAGTCGGATGTGATAGCGAAGAAGCCCAGATTTCGTCTCCAAGGACACCTGTCGCACAATGGCATTGTCCGTTTCATCTCCAATGGAGCTCCGGATCGTAAGCCTGAACGGGTCTTTCGCGCATAGATTTACGAGAAGCCTCGGCCTAGATCATGACGAGATTAGGAAATTCATGCTCTCCACCCAGCCTGAAACATGAAGAGCCTTATCCTTAGACTGACTACGCTATGCATTGCCATGCAGTACATCATCTTATGGTCACAGGATGTCTCCCGGTTGTCTGAGGCCTCTCCAGCAGGACAGGCATGACCCCAAAGAGCATCAGCGGCCACTCTGCCCACGCCATTGCGTAAAGGATCATCTCCTTGGGATCCGTGAAGGGAACGCTCAAGTAGAAGAGGACCAAGCAGGTCACCTGGATCGCTTGCCAGAAAGCCAGGAGCTCGAAGATGAATGCATACCATTCCTCACCAAACACAAAACAAGCCCACTGTATCTAGCTCTACGTCGCTAGGTTTCCTAAGGGTGCCCTTGGTGATGCAGAATAGTGCCACTCATTACCACTTCTTCCGTGGTGCAGTGGACAAGCTCGCGCGCTTGAAGTTGGCAGCTGGAGTCGGCCCCAGCTCGACCTTCTCCATTTCCACATTGCCTTGGATGCATCTACAAGCGACCAACTATTTACCCCTGCCATCTTACAGCCCTGCAGTGGTCCATGCTGCGGAGATACAAAGTCCAGGAGCACCGAACTTCAGCTCAGCATTGACGGTCGAGGAGACGTCATACTGCTTCCTTGAGGTTCCAATCAGTCTTCTTCTTGTATGCTTTAACTACTTTTCGTAGGTCGTAGTACTGCTACAACCAGGACCAGGTACACCACCCTTGCCTTATGAGGAGTTATTGAACTAATGCGAACGCACAGCCGGACCCACTTTGGAAAGTTGGGGTTGCCTGCAGCAACCGCAGCATCATCATCATGACCACCATCATCATCGTAAGCGCGACGATAGTCTCTCCATGGCAATGATAAGGCACTTTCAAAGCTTTGCAGCTGCAGTAGCCTATGCAACTACTGTCGATTTATTGCAGCCGATGTTTGGATTCGGCCGTCAAACTGTCAAACCTTACCTCCGAAGCTAAAGCTGAGCTTGCATCTGGGAGGCATGAGCATGTTGGTGCTCGTCCCGGAGAACAGAAGCAGAATCTTTCGTGCATCCTCTGGCAATGTAGGTGTCAAGCTGAGCGTGTCATGCTCCAGGAGATAGCCCACCACAACACCTGCAACGGATTTTGGGACGAACACATCGGATCGCAAGGCTAAACGCTGCATCGTCGTTGACAGAAATAAGCATTTGCACGCTGACGCCGGCATTGGCCTGCCATCAGGAGGAAGTAGGCTGACATGCACAAGAACTCGCCAACGGCAAAAAGGTCCAAATGGATGCAGCCATACCTCACTCTCTGCAAAGCAACAGCTGAAACGCTGCTACGAAAAGGCAAACCTTGCAATTCCCTGAAGGTCCAACTTCGCTCGCTTTTGCGAGTCCGGGGTTCAGCACTGGCGTCAGGAGGACTAGCGATGTGAGCCAGATCCACATGTCCACCTGCTTTAGGGTATCTGAGTTGGTGGACAGGGTCTTAGTCTTGAATGTCTTGGGAAGTCCTCCACCACACACACGACGATGTGGCCCAGCCGCTCGCGCAAGTAAGCCTCGAAGCTAAACTGCCCTTGGCGTGGGCCGTGGTGGAGCACGAGTGACTACACGACGAGCAGAGGGTTCTTGTACGAAAACGTATCAGGAACCGCTTCTTTTTGTCTGCC